CAGCTCTCTCTCTCTCAACTTGCTCTTTCCAATTATCAACATATAAAGCATGGGTTTCCGTTTACCTAGTTTGAGAAAGGCGTCCCTTCCAGCAATCCAAGCATCTTCAAAATCTGTGGACGTGCCCAAGGGTTACCTTGCTGTCTATGTTGGAGATAAAATGAAGCGATTTATGATCCCTGTATCACACTTGAACCAACCTGCATTCAAGAACTGTTGAGTCAAACTGAGGAAGAATTTGGGTATGAACATCCAATGGGTGGTCTCACAATTCCTTGCAGAGAAGATGCTTTCTTGGATATCACTTCTCGCTTGATGAGGTGCTAATCCATGAAGATCAGACTGACATTAATGTATAGACATAATTTTTGTAGGATAGTTTCTTACCTTGAAAATATTGTTTCTCCATTTTTGTTATATTAATTTGGATAGTACAAAGAATGTTACAAGAAATTTCCAACATGTTGAGTTTTCTCACATATTTTCTTCATCCGTCATTCTGATCTACATAGTTGTCGAATAAGAAATTAGCTAGTACTCTACAACCAAAGAATTCTTAATGTCTCATATTTAAATTCGGCTATTATCTCTACATTTTTTAACTAAGTTCATTGACCAAAAACTACATTATAACAGAGAGGAAAAGAAGATAAGTTTAAAACAAGATCACCGTACAATAAAGAGAAAAACTCATCGAAATTAAGTCGCTGTGAAACTCAACTGTTTTGATTTCAACTTGCTTTTTTGATTTTTGTGAACCATCCCTGGGCACTGAAAATCTGAAATATTGCTTGACGGAAGATCAAAACCATCCATACAATACAAGTTCATGCACATACGAGGAAGGACCCAATTCTTTATGATAAAAAATGCAAGTCAAGCAGAGATACCATCTTCGCGTGATCAAATTAGTTGGTTTCAACAGGTTATTGAAGTGACGAATTATCTACTAATTGAATATTTTTCAAACCTTTAACTATTTTAGATGAAAATAGAATAAAATTATCTTACTTGTAGAATTGGGGATTATTGCTCCAGTTTGTAATCTGGAATCTGAAGATGATACAAGAACGAGAAATTGCCCTAAATTTTTATTACGTATCTTTGGTGCTTCTCCTCGTCCTAACAAAATACTACTATCTCTGCCCCTCTCTGCCTTGTCTTCGTTCTTGGTTAACAGGTTATGGAAGTGACGAATTATCCACTGATCCTGTCTTTTTTACGCTGTATATGATTCTAATTGTTGGGGAAAGAAAAATTGAAATGGATAAATAGACAGAAACTTAGTATTTGAATTCATCATCATTAGTCAAAATTTTGTAATAATAGTTACAAGTTTGAGAAGATGCCTATTGTACAAAATGTCTCTAATAATCTATGTGAGTCTCCTAAAGTGAGATTTATTGTCCCTTGAAGCAAGAAATTGTATGTTGGAAGACATCTTCACTGCATGGAATAGTAAGGCATCCCATGGGATGATCATATCCAAACTCTTCCTCAGCTTGACTAAGTAAGTCTTGGAATGAAGGTTGGTTCAAGTAAGAGATGGGAATCACAAAGCGATTTTGTTTCTCTCCAACATAAACTGCAAAATAGCCCTTTGGTATGTCTTCAGATTTTGAAGATGCTTGTCTTGCTGTGAATGATGACGCCCGTCGGATGGTAGGTAAACGGAAACCCATTTTTTGAGCTCGTTTAAGGAAGAAGGACAATCTCAAATTTAAGAGAATGAATCTGAATTTTGATGCTTGAGGATTTAGAAGGCTTGTGTATTTTTTTAAGGGATAGGAGAGTGTATATATAGATGCTAAAAGAAGGAAAGCGTAGAGATGAGATATCGCGTGGTGTTGTCTGCAGTACTTCTATCAAGCATTAAGTGGGGTGCAGGTGTGTAACTCCACCTTGTTGAACAGCAGGAAACATTAAGCCTTCACATGTTCCCATCGAGACGTGGCTATGTGAAGGCCTAATTCTTTTCATGGATTAATTGTTATTCCACGTTTTTACAAACATGCTCTGAACATGTTTTTTTTCACGTTACCTAATGTTGATCTACAGCTGGAAAGATCAAATTATGAGTCAAAAGCAGTGAGATATCAGAGACCATTATATTCATGAGATTTGAAATCTTACGTCTTCTCTATCAAGTGGATAGGCTTGAGATAGTGTACTATCGACTATAACATCAACCATTAATCTCTAAGAAACACTTCAAAGGCAACACCATATGCCCTTTCCATCCTGTCGGTCCCATAACTCTTAACTCAAAGCCTCCACCCTCAATCATTCATGTAACCGATGATATCCTACAAAAATTTTCTTCTATATATATATTCATGGCTGCAAGCATTTGGGACATCCAAAATCGTTCACATCCTAAAGCATTTTAGCTCCAAAAACTAGCATCTTATTTACAACTATCTTTTCTCAACTTTCTCTTCCCAAGTATTATCTTATAAAACATGGGTTTTCGTTTACCTGGTATCAGAAAGGCATCTCTTCGAGCAATCCAAGCATCTCCAAAAGTCGTGGATGTGCCAAAGGGTTACATTGCAGTCTATGTTGGGGATCAAAGGAAGCGGTTTATGATCCCTGTGTCATACTTGAACCAACCTTCATTTCAAGATCTATTGAGTCAAGCTGTGGAAGAATTTGGCTATGATCATCCAACTGGTGGTCTCACAATTCCTTGTGGAGAAGATTTGTTCTTAGATATCACTTCTCGCTTCGATAGCTGCTAACTGCATGAAGATGGAACTGACTTAGATGTAGACATATACTTGACACATTTTTGTATCATAGTTTCTTACCTTGAGAATATTTCCCTCTCCATGTTTGATGTCTGAATTTTTAAATGAAATTTAATCTGAATGAGAAAGTTTGGGAACACTAACCTCATTCTTTTTGTACAAAACACTGCAAGTTTGAACTTAGATTAATGTAATTTCCCTTGTTACTGTAACATCTAATTAGCTTGACTGGCCTCTATCTTTTTCAGTATTACTAGAAGTTTAGGGTTTAGGAGCGGATGAAATATTTTAAAATGATATAATACAAATATATGCACGTCTATAATGTTTGAATCAAATCCTTCAAACTTTAGTCTGTTACTTCTTTGGATATGCAATGGGTTTCCATTTTCCTGGTCTTCAAAGGTGAACTAATATTCAAAACATTAGAGTTTATATTGGACAAAACCAAAAGAGTGGTTTGTGATTTATTAACTGTGAAAAATTTACTAATAGTGTTTATTGCTATTTTCTCCATATAATGCCCAGGAAATTAAAGTTGTTACGTGAATGATTGTCTATATTCTTCGGCAGACTAAAACAACTCACATATTGTTTTGCTTATGTTGTGTAATTCACGAGAACAATGAAGTGTTTTTCTTCCTGTAAGCAACCTTCTAATGTTGTACTGTCTAAGACAAATGAACTGTGAATGATTAAAAAGAATACTAAGTAATTTATTGCCATTACTAAANTTACAAACATGCTCTGAACATGTTTTTTTTCACGTTACCTAATGTTGATCTACAGCTGGAAAGATCAAATTATGAGCCAAAAGACAGTGAGATATCAGAGACCATTATATTCATGAGATTTGAAATCTTACGTCTTCTCTATTTCAAGTGGATAGACTTGAGATAGTGTACTATCGACTATAACATCAACCATTAATCTCTAAGAAACACTTCAAAGGCAACACCATATGCCCTTTCCATCCTGTCAGTCCCATAACTCTTAACTCAGCCTCCACCCTCAATCATTCATGTAACCGATGATATCCTACAAAATTTTTCTTCTATATATATTTTCATGGCTCCAAAATCGTTCACATCCTAAAGCATTTTAGCTCCAAAACTAGCTTCTTATTTACAACTATCTTTTCTCAACTTTCTCTTCCCAAGTATCATCATATAAAACATGGGTTTTCGTTTACCTGGTATCAGAAAGGCGTCTCTTCGAGCAATCCAAGCATCTTCAAAAGTTGTGGATGTGCCAAAGGGTTACATTGCAGTCTATGTTGGAGATCAAAGGAAGCGGTTTATGATCCCTGTGTCATACTTGAACCAACCTTCATTTCAAGATCTGTTGAGTCAAGCTGAGGATGAATTTGGTTATGACCATCCAACCGGTGGTCTCACAATTCCTTGTGGAGAAGATGTGTTCTCAGATATCACTTCTCGCTTCGATAGCTGCTAACTGCTTGAAGATGGAACTGACTTAGATGTAGACATATACTTGACACATTTTTGTATCATAGATTCTTACCTTGAGAATATTTCCCTCTCCATGTTTGTTGTCTGAATTTGTAAATGAAATTTAGTCTGAATGAGAAAGTTTGGGAACTCTAACCTTTTTCACGTTTAATTTTATTCTCTCATAGTATATATATATTGACACATAATTGAAACTGTATTAAAATCCATGCATTTAACTCTAATTTCCTCATTTTTATTTTGTACAAGACACTGCAATTTTGACCTCAGATATTCATGTAATTTCCCTTGTTACTGTACATCTAATTAACTTGACTGGCCTCTATCTTTTTCAGTATTACTAGAAGTTTAGGGTTTAGGAGCTGTTGAGATATTTTAAAATAATACAATACAAATATATATACACTTCTATAAGGTTTCAATCAAATCCTTCAGACTTTAGTCTGTTACTTCTTTGGATATGCAATGGGTTTCCATTTTCCTGGTCTTCAAAGGTGAACTAATATTCAAAACATTAGAGTTTATATTGGACAAAACCAAAAGAGTGGTTTGTGATTTATTAACTGTGAAAAATTTACTAATAGTGTTTATTGCTATTTTCTCCATATAATGCCCAGGAAATTAAAGTTGTTACGTGAATGATTGTCTATATTCTTCGGCAGACTAAAACAACTCACATATTGTTTTGCTTATGTTGTGTAATTCACGAGAACAATGAAGTGTTTTTCTTCCTGTAAGCAACCTTCTAATGTTGTACTGTCTAAGACAAATGAACTGTGAATGATTAAAAAGAATACTAAGTAATTTATTGCCATTAAATATTGATAAAAAATAGTTACATGTTACCAAAGGAACATGCCTTTTTTAAATTTATTTAAGAATTTATTTTCATCTCCATAAGTGAGATTTATTATCCCCTACCAATGATGAAGTATTCAGTAATCTAGGAAGATATTGTGGATTAATCCAAATAAGTTACGTTATAGGTAACTTTAGCTATATGGTAAGGGAACGATTTCAACTGTTGACACTTACATACGCACATTAGCTTTCCGTAAGAGTTTGACTTAATTACACTTTTGGTCTTATATTTTGTTTAGAAAAATCAAAAGGAACTTTAGTTTTTATTTGGTGCAATTAAATTTTTAATTTAAAAAAATATCTTGTTAGATTGTTATTAATTTATTGTTCCTACATGTCAAGTGTTAGTATGTAGTATTTTTAGATAGTGTGTCATGTCACGTAGCGGTGACAATGCCCAATGTTAATATAGTGTAATGTGTAAGTGTTAGCAACTCAAGACAATGTATTGTATTTAATTTGATTTTTATATTTAAAATTTTGATTCAATTTAGTTTATATTTTCTAAATAGAGAAATATTGCATTTCTCTAAAATGAGATTGAATTAATAATTAAACTTAGTTATAATTTATAAATACATGTTAAAATAATTTTTTTAAAATTTATATATCAAATCACTCCATCAAAATATTGAAATCTCAAGTTAAAACCAATGCAATTCTTATTTTCATCAAAATATCAAATCACTCCATCAAAATACTGTGAAGCAGATGAGTGTCGTGCTGTGTATTAAAAAGAACAATGAACCCTTATTTTCAGGCAAGAACCTTCTACTTCTATCTACGATTCTAATTTCAGAGAGTAGTGAACATTGTAATCGATTAACAAAAGTACTTCACAACTGATTTTGCTTTCATTAATCAAAAATGGGTAACAATTAATAATTACAAGTTAGAGAATCCCCCTATTGTACCAAATCTCTCTTCCAATATATATCAGTATGTTTGATTTATTGTCTCCGTTGGTATTTTGAGGCTGTGAAAGGAAAATTGATAGGATAAAGAAAATTGTGGAGACAGTAGAATGTGGAAGTGGTAGTTACAAGTAATATATTTTGTAGTTGTATGTGTTGTGTTGATGTTTTTTTATATCAAATGCTAGAGTACATGATTATTTATAGACTAATATGTTTTTCTATAATATGTTAGTCACAACTTATGTAGAATGTTTTAGGTTTTTACTTATGTAAAATGTTTTTGATTTTTTTTTCTTTCTATCTTAGAATCTTTTACAATATTCTAGAATTTGTATTACAATTTAATACTTCTATTTTAGGATTTTCTATATTCTTCTTGATCATATCCAAACTCTTCCTACTCTTGACTCAATAAATCTTGGAAGGAAGGTTGGTTCAAATATGATATTGGAATCACAAACCCCTTATGTTTCTCTCCAACATACACTGCAAGATATCCTTTCGGCACTTCTACAGATTTTGAAGCTGCTCACCCAGCTGTGGATAATGCATGTCGATTAGCAAGAAAACAAGAACCCCATTTTTGAGCTTTTTATTAGAAGAAAGAGGAACAATCCGAGATTGAGAAAGAATGGACCAAACTATTGATGCTTGGGAGTGCAAAAAAGATAGTGTATATATAGTTTTAAAGACTTCCTA